GCCCACATGGTGCCGCGCGTGGGCCCTGGTGGAGCCGGCCGGTGGTCAGGTCGGTGGACAGCGGTGGGACAGCGGTGGGGCGAGGAGGTCGCGGGCGGTGTGGCCTTCCGGCCAGTGTGCGGCGCCCGGAAGCTGGTCCTTCCAGGGCTTTGCACTTAAACTTCATGAAACATAAAATTGCCCAGAAAAATGAGCCCAATAAATTTCAAACAGCAGAAATGCCACGAACCAGGTTTGCATATAAAGCTTCTCTACGTTCCAAAATTAATTTTAAAATAGGGGAAATTTTGATTTAATGGCATATAAAGTGAACAGTTATCAAGGTATCATTAAAATAAAAAGTCAGGAACAGCTTCTTTATCATGAAAATCTATTAATATGACTTGTAATCGTAATAGTTCATAAAGAGAAAGTAATCTCGTTTTTAAAATACACACTGAAATGGAACTTAACAAAAATACAACTACGTTCTGGGTAGACATCTCCACTTAGCGGATGAAGTTCAGGCACATGAGTTGTTGTTTTTAAATGCCTACTTTGCTTTTCAAAAGATTTATTTATTTATGCACACAGAACTGGGGTGCAGGCCAGAGGTGTGGGGGTGGGCGGGAGGGGCAGAGTGGGGAGCAGGACAGGCGGCCGGGGCAGGAGGGGTCCGCTCACCCCAGTTCTTGTTGCATAGATAAATCTTTTTTTAAAATGGTCACTAGAAAGCTTTAGCTATGCTAAAGCTTAGCATAGGTGGGGGGTCCCGGGGCCAGCCTGGGGAGCCCTGGGAGCCACTCACGGAGGGCGGGCGCCCGCCTGCTGGTGGGCAGCAGTCTGCGGAGGCCGCTGGGCGCCGAAGCGGCCTCTGGCCCGCACCGCGTCACTGTCTCTTACGTTCTCTCAGGCGCTGGTGTCCGCGGCCAGAGATGCGGCGAGAGCTGCGAGCTGACCCAGCAGCCCGGCGCTGCGGGCCCAGGTCGGGTGAGGCCGGGGCACTGGCGGATGCCTGAGTGTCCACCCCGCGGCAGCCTGCTGCCCAGGCCATCAGCCCTGGGCAGGAGAGGGGGCCAGCGGCGACCCAGAGTGCCGCCCATGGACCGTCCTGCAGCTGCGCTCCCCACCGACCGCCAGGGTCACTCTGCTCCTCCTGGCCGGCCAGCTCCTGGGCCTGGGCGCAACTTCCTGGGCTCCACAGTGTCCTGGGGGCGCCTGCACACCGAGGTCAGGCCCGGGGCAGGCCAGGGCTCTGGGTGCTGCCTCCTAGTGGCCTCCAGAGTGAGGTGCGCGCTCGCGGCTCACGGGCTGTGGCCAGCCAGAAGCGGTGCTCTGCTGTCAGGTTGCCCAGGCAACACCAGCTGCTGTGACATCACGTGACTGAGGGAGGGGACACGGCCTGGTTTTAGAACCCTAAAATTATCCCTCAATCTGCTCGCCGCTTTCTGAAGCAGCCAAGACCGCCAAGCCCAAGGGGGCGCGCCAGAGGCCTCTGCCCCGCCGCGAGGCGCTGCTGGGCTGGCCGCGGGCCAGGGCGCCCCTTCCCGACTGCTCGCCCGGGCCAGGGCGCCCCCTTTAGGGCTGCATGTGGGGTGCAGGAGGCAGGTGAGCGGGCGCTGGGCCGGAAGCCCAAGGCAGAGCCTGTAGCCACGCAGGGAGGCCAAGACGAGGCCACCCCGCGTGCCGTGGACGCCCCAGACCCGCAGGCGGGGGGGCGCGGCCAGGGG